GCGTTATTCGAATGCACATCGCGGCTTCAGGGGAAAAGCCGTCTCAAGAAGACAAATGGAGGCTCACTTATATCCCTTCTCGGACACATAAAGACAAAGATGTCACTGCGGCAGCAGAATGGGGCTTGGGTGAGCCGGTGTATTTGCACTTTGCAGTGCAAGATACCGGACGTGGACTAGATGAACTCGAGAAGAAGCAACTCTTCCAGCGGTTCTCCCAAGCTAGTCCTCGCACACATGTTACGTATGGTGGCTCCGGCCTGGGCCTTTTCATCTCAAGGGAATTGGTCGAACTCCAGGGAGGTGAAATCGGCGTAGCCTCTGAGAGTGGCAACGGCAGTATATTTGCGTTCTACATCAAAGCTCGCCGCACCAATGGCGATGTCAGTCTTTTGGACGACAACCCCAGCACGTCGGCACCACATAGCAGGAAGGGCTCCAGAACCACGCCGCTGAGCGGCTTGACCATGCAAATGCTCCAATCGACGCCAGGTGCCTCAACTGGTCCTTCGAAGTCGCCTGCTTCTCTAAGGACGGACTCCACCAACCTGACCACACAAAGTGGCCCTGTTCACGTGCTTATCGTCGAAGACAATTTGATCAACCAAAAGGTACTTGCAGCACAGCTCCGCAAAATCGGGTGTGTCGTCTACGTGGCCAATCACGGCGGCGAAGCTATCGATCAGATCCGCAAGTCCAGGTTTTACCGTGACCATGTAACGGACGGGGTGAAGATTGATGTGGTTCTCATGGACTTGGAAATGCCTATCATGGATGGGCAGACGTGCGCACGAAAACTCCGAGACATGCAAGATACTGGGGAGTTGGTTGCACACGTCCCTGTTATAGCAGTAACGGCAAATGCGCGAGCTGAACAGATCGAGATGACACTGCAGAGCGGAATCGATGATGTCGTTAGCAAGCCGTTTCGACTGCCGGAGCTGGTGCCTAAGATGAAGGATGTCCTCACCAAGTTTCAGCGAGCTGGTGAGGCAAGTTAGATCCGTTGAAGAATTCTACATGACTGGAAACACAGAGCGGGGCAACACATGCCACCAGGGAATGCGGACCACCGTGGCACTCCTTTCCGGTGCTCCGTGGTGCTCTCGAAAGGAAGCGCCACATTTAGGCCAATTGGTCACATTCGATGGACTTATGAAGCAGACATGTGACACGCCGTCTCGTCAATGAGAGATGGTGGTGGAGGGTGGGTATACTGGAGGCTTCAAGGAGGAGTTCAATTGGGAAGAGGACATGAATATTCGGCTCGGCTCGAAACGGTTCGACATCAGGATAGGCAGACATGGGGCATGGGTATGCCAACAGGTCAACCAAAAATATGGAGTTCCGCCCTGATTTTAACGAGCAAGAATGAGGTGCCGGACACTTGTTTCTCAGGGAAATGGCTTTCGAGCGCCTTCCTACGAATCCCAACACCTATCGACATCTCCAGGATAATGTTAATGGGGAGGATTCGACGATGGGACGAACGTATATGAGAATAACCTACATAGACGGTATAACACCCATTGTAATTATTTGCGCATTGTGGACACGTGTATTGATATGAGTGGACTGGCCCGGCCAGATCAGCCAGGGAGGGATGTCTGACCTTTGGTCAGAAAATAGAGCATGATAGAGCAGCGCCTGAAAATGTTGTTCCAATAGATCAATCCAGAGATGAGCATGTACGAGGTACTAGAGGTCGAGGAGTAGATGCTATGGCCTTGAAGAAATCTCTTTTTGCACTCCAACGAACCCCCAGCCTTGTCAGGAATTCTACGAAGTAGGTATACATAACATACAGTCCACATCATTTAGACCTGTTGTGAGTGCCCCATGCTCTATCAAGAAATTCCCATTGGAGAGATCGACCATGATGTAACTCGTCACCTGGTTTGGCTGATGATTGATAATGATTTTCAACCTCGATATGGTTGTATATTTTTTGTTCCCATGAGACTTTGAATGTTTACTCACCCTTGCGTACTTGTCACCTTACAATCGTCATGGGTATTGACTATCTTGTACCTCGCAGGGCGCGTTTCCCGTGGGCCTCTACCGAACATGTTTCTATACCGAGTACCACCTGGCACGGTCCCAAAAGAGTAGGTATAATAGCCGAAATAGGTAGTAGGCACGGCACAGAGGACCGTACGTACCAACATTGGTCACATACGATAGCCACAAAAGGAAGAACGGAACCTCCTTTGCCATTCCGACGTCCTCCTGTCCTTCTGTCCTGTGCCTATGTTTGTCGCCCGTGTTTTCTCCGCATACGAGCTTCCCTCGGCCCCTCTCTAGGGGTCGATCAGAACGCGTGACCATTGTCCACACTCCCGACTACCGGGACTGCCGAAAGATGGAGAAGTTGGAGATCACGTATAGGAGATGTGGTAGATGTGGGTTCTGATCCAACAACAAACGGGGCTAAAAACACGCCCTTCGTGTGAAATCTGATGAGCAAACACCGACTAATGCCACCGGATCTCAATTTTGGGTTTTTGGCTCCCTACGCTACGGCTGTCGGGGTCGGGGGGCATGATGATTCTGACCTCTGGCTTCTGTCCAGGTATCAAGCTTGGAGGGATAGTTACCTGAGTAGTACGAGTAGGACTCAGCTACCTGCCTCCTTAGTGCCTAGGTACCAAGTAAAGTGCCTGGTGTGACGGTATGTCATGGCATGGGACGGACGGATGTCGGCGTGCGGTATGTGGGCAGATCACCAAGCATTTCCTGCCTCATGTTGGATCATGGATGATGGATATATTGTGGCATATCACATATCATATGTCACCCATGGGCATAGAGGGACAGGTTATACCACTCATGCGCGGCAACGTACAAATCTATACCTCTGATATCTAGAGAGGAAGACTGAGACTCGGTGGTCGGAACAATCTCTTTCACATTCGTTGGGGACGCCCATTGACTTGTCTTGATTCTTCCGCAGAATTGTGGAGGTATATACTCCGTCCAACGAGTCCATGGAACATCCTTCATCGTCGACTGGAAAGGAAATAACATTGGTGTTGGGCCAGGGACTGATAGGTCAAAGATCATGACGACTCTTGTCCATATCGGGAGTCGGGATTGGCCTGAGGAGCAGAATGAGCAGAGCTCGCACGGGTGTATGTCGTCTTTTCTTCTTGGCTCGAGCCATGGTGGTTGAATATGCTTACTTACCAGCAATTTAGTACCGGTCCCTATCGAGATCCAACGCGAAGACAAAGCCACCATTCCGGAGGTCCCGTCTCCCAAGGCTGCATGCACCAACCAGCTTGACGAAAAGCATATTTCAGTACAGGGAGAAGCTGGCACAGACCCTGCAACGACCAAGGTACCAATTCACACTCCACAAGGACAAGGGCAAGGACCGGATCACGTCGACATTGATGTTGTTCCAATACCACCTCCAGACGTCGGCCTCCAACCATGGCTGCAAGTCATCGCCGGACACTTCCTCATGTTCAACAGTTGGGGCCTGGTGGTCTCGTACGGCTCCTTCCAGACGTACTATACCACCCAGATAGCCCACAGCGGCAACTATCCTCTGCAAAGTGCGTCCAAGAACGCCTCGGCCATCGCCTGGATCGGCTCCATCCAGAATACCCTCTTGTTGGTGGGTGGTGCGCTCGGGGGCAAGTACTTTGACGCCGGGTACTTTCGCCAGATGCTCGGCCTGGGCACGTTTCTCGTCGTCTTCGGGACCCTGATGACCAGCTTGGTCAAGGAGTACTACCAGGCGGTGCTGGCGCAGGGCGTCTGTGTCGGCTTGGGCATGGGGATGCTGTTGGTCCCGAGCGTGGCATTGCCGAGTACCTGGTTCCACAAACGCAGAGGACTGGCTGTTGGGATCGTGAGCTCTGGTGCGTCCTTGGGCGGCATCGTCATCCCCATTGGACTGCGGCACAGTATTTCGTCCGTGGGGTTTGGGTGGGCGGTGCGCATTCTCGCCCTCATGTCGCTGGTCACCCTGCTGGTGAGCAACCTGTTGATACGGCAGCGGTTGCCACCCCGACCGGCAAAGGGGGCGCGATTCATCGAGTATCAAGCTTTGAGGGAACAGCGCGAGTTCGCTCTCTGGACCGCCGGCCAGTTCGTCACGTACTTTGGGTTTTTCGGCTTCTACAACTACGTCGAAGCCTGGGCCGAGTCGATCGGGCTGGACCGCCACTCCTCGGGCGGAGGATTCCCACTCGAGTACTTGCTGCCGGTGCTGAACGCGGCGAGCATCCTGGGTCGTCTGATCCCGTGCTTCATCGCCGATTACACGGGGCCGTTGAACATCCAGGGCCCCTCGCTCTTCGTGACCGCCCTGCTCGTCTTCGTCTGGATCCCATGCCGCACACTCGGCGGCCTCCTCGCCATCACCGTTCTGTACGGGTTCTTCTCCGGCGCCGTCATCGCCACGCCTCCGGCCGTGGTGGCCAGCATGACGGAAGACCTGCGCCGGTTTGGCGGGAGAATGGGCGTCATGTTCTTGACCATGGCGTGTTCGTCGCTCGTTGGACCGCCCGTCATGGGTGCCATCATTGAGATGCACGGTGGGTCGTACGATGCCGCCAAGGTGTACGCGGGAGCCATGATCATGGGTGGCACAGTGTTGGTATGGCTGTCGAGGTTGTACAAGACCGGGTTGAGAGTCGTCGTCAAGGCATAAATTGACGAGGTTCCGCATATATTACAGCCGACACTTTTCAAGGTTGGGTCTTAGCGCAACCCCTGGGAAAGTCGGTTATTTGTCTTGATGGAGCAGTCTTCTGTCACACCAAAACGCGTCGAGAGACGTTTTAAAGACTCCAGCCTGGGTACAGGATGACAGTGCACAACAAGGGCGGTGTCCAATTCATGGTCGAGTCTTGGTTTGGTATATAAAATCCCGAATCCGATTACGTCCTACATCTTGCGAGGCTGGGGGTCTATAGCGCATGAATAGGAAACTGTGCAAGTCTGTGCTTTTTGCGTGAGTAAAAAGCCCAATGAATCCCCACGAAAAGCTACAGCTTGAGCTCAGGCTTGGACTTTTGCATTTGACGTCGCAGAATCTTGCCATTGGGACCGCGAGGGATCGCTTGCACAAAGGACACTCCCACCACCCACTTTGGCCGGGATTTCCGCGCACGCACATGCTGGATGAGCTCCTCGGCGAGGCCGCGGCTGGGTTGGACGTCCTTGTGGAGCACCACGAACGCATATGGAACCTCTCCCTTGTAGGAATGGGGGACCCCCAGGACCCCCACGTCCTGGACGTGAGGGTGACTCATGAGAACGTCTTCCAGCTCGGCAGGCGCGACGCCGACGCCTTTCACCTTGATGAGATCCTTGATGCGGCCCGTGATGGTCAGGCAGCCGTCAGCGTCCATTCTCCCCATGTCGCCGGTGCGGAGCCATCCGTCTGCCAGGAACGTGCCTCTCGTCTCCTCCGGATTGTCCAAGTAGCCCATCGTACACTGAGGTCCCCGGACCAGGATCTCGCCCTCGTCGGCCTCGGCCCCGTTCCCGTCGAGGATTTTGATCTCCGTGTTCGCAAGGATCACGCCCGCGGTGCGAGCGTATTTGAAGTCGTAGTGCGCCGGGTCCGTCGCCGTAATGCAGCAGCACGTCTCGGTCATTCCCCAGCCCTGCTTGAATCCGGTATTGGGGAATTTGTCCTGCAACATGCCGAGCACATCTTCGGGTAGAGGCGCCGATCCGGAGGTGAACCTGCGGATGGAGCTCAGGTCATATCGTGAGACCACGGGTTCTTCTTGAAGAAGCCGCACGATGATCGGGGGCACCATCAGCACCTCGGTCAGTCGATACTTGACTATCGCGTCCAGCATCGACTCCATGGTGAACTTGGGGAGCATGAGGATCTCGGCGTTTCGATAGATGGGAAGGTGTAACAGGTTGACAAGACCGGTAACTACTCGCAGTGTTAGTCGTCCGGACTGACTGGACGATGTTAACAGATGAGGCTATGCCAGAAAAAAGACTTGCTGTGATAAAGAGGCAGGATGGCAAGCGCTTTGTCGCTGTCGGGACTGGTCACTTGAGCCATCTGTATGCACTGAGCAATGACATTATGGTGTGATATCATACACTGGATGGCATCAATTCAGTTCCCTCGTCACGGAAATCGCCAAACTGAAGAAGGGAAGAAATGGGTTTCTACTCACGGCTTTGGGTCGACCGCTCGTTCCGCTGGTAAAGCTCAAGTACCCGCAGAGGTCACGATTGCTCGAGCCTGAGGGGATCTTGAAAGGTTCGTTGAAAGGTGTCATGGCAACTTCAGATCCCGTCTGAATGAGGCGATGGATGTTGACCAAAGCCCCATGCTGGCCTTCGAGGAGGAAAACGCGGCTGAGCGGGATTCCAGCATCTCGTGCTGCAGTCATCACCACCGCGGCGGAGGTTGGGACCGTCACAAAGTAGCGGGCGTGCGAAAGACGAAGGACATGAGATAGTTCCTCCACTGTCGATGCAGGTGATACTCCGGCAACTCTGGCCCCAGCTCTTAATGCCGCGAACATGGCGACAGGGTACCATATATTGTTCCCGCTCATCAGCAAGACCGTCTCGGCAGGTCGGAGCCCGTGGTCTCTAACCAGAGCCATGGAAAGCTGCTCGGCATAGGTTTTGAGCTCCGCAAACGTTATGCGATCTCCTGAGACGGCGTTCGTGACGCTTCGATTCCGGGCCTGTTTGAAACTCGGAGAGTCAAAAAGCCATGACCAGACCGTGACGTCTTCTGGACCTGAAGGGGGAAGAGTGTTAGTAATGCTCGAGGTTATGCACGACGGCGTCAGAGTATGTCTCCTTGGGCGTGGACGGTCAACATACATGTGACTGCCGGTAATTCTGATTTATATGTCATTTTGACCGTCCTGGGCTATGGTGATGGCAGATCCTGTAATGGCGGTTGATTCGAGGCTGGAACCATATGGTATTATCATGAAAATGGAGAGCCTCAGGACTCGGTAATCCGGAAACACCCGTACATCCCATCCCGTCACTCCCATTCTCCCACCAGTGTGCTTCCTGAATACCCTGTGAGAACTATGAGACTGTTCGCGCACGGTGTTCAGCTTCAAAAGATGCAAAAGAAAACTTTGTACTGGGTACATGTCGCGGCGACCTAGTCAATGACTTGATGGGGGTATTTTCCTTGTGACGCGGTGGCTGGATATGAGAAACAATTCAGGATTCGGGTGCTCGGTAGTTCGGGACATATACTGGGGGAATGCAAGCAAGAGACTCAAAGATCTGCCAGCCGCCAGTCAGATCTTCGTGGTTGGTTGGAAGGATCCCTGGTGGACCTGAGATTCACTTTTGCTCGCTGGCTGGACGAACCATGTCAATGTCCCTCAAACGGCCCTCGAGGTCATCGACTGTGCCATCCGGGTCCACAGCGGGCTGGGTTTCTGCCAGGATACACCGTTGGCGAATACATGGACACAACTGTGGTCGCTGGGCATCGCCCGTGGGACAGACGAGGTTCAGCTGCAGCACTGGGGTAAGAGAGAGAATAAGCAGTGGAAGATTGGTATGCAGCAACATCGAAGTGACTAGCTGTTCCGTGAATTCTGCGTTGCTAGGCAGGAACTGGGTGCCCGGTCGCATCAGACTAAATTGTAGACATATCACAGCGAAGTGGTATGTCTCTGCCATATTCGATTCCAGTGCGAGTCATAGGACACTTGATGAGTGCAGCTTTCAATAGGTGGGGAGCGCAACCTTAGCGAGATGTGACATGCCTAAAGGGGCTAGGGTGACGAGTTAACGACGGCTGACCTTCCTAGATAAGCTAGAATAAATATATGATGCAGCCTCGTGGTTCGTTCTTCCTTGCACATGGCGTCACGATTCGACCAGAGTCCAAACAGTGCCTCAAGCGATTGGACCTAAGTCACCCGTGCATAAGAACCGTGTGCAACACAGTCCACCGCAAAGGCTGTGCAGCGATTCCCTCGAGTAAATCACATTTACTGTCACATCGAGACTGCTCCTTGAAGTCCCGTTCATTCGATGAGGAATCGTGAGGCACCAGCACACGAGTAGTGTTTCTCGCTTCGGCAATCCGGAGTTTGGGAGTTTGATATCATAGTCGATTTGAATCAAAAAGGAAAACACACACCGAAATCCACTTACTACTATGTTTTTTATCGATGAGAACTCATCCATGCGCCTCGTCCACTAGTGCCTTCTGAAGATTCCCAGACAAGAAGAATGGTTCCTCACACCGGAGTAATCGTGCCGGATTATGATGATTTACCGTACAACGAAGAGGCTCAAACACGGTCAGCCTGGGGCATCTTCGACAAGGATGGGCAAAAAGTCCATCTGGGAGGTACGATCAAGCGGCTCACTCACACTCACTCACAAGAAGTTACGGATGTCGAATGCTGACTTGTTTGCTCACGTCCTGCCTTCTTCTTTCTACAGCGCTGAATCACCTCACGCCCGAGACCAAGACTGCCGCCGCCAGAGAAGTCGTGGCCGGCCTCTCTTTCCAGTTGGATTGGTGCTCTAGTGAACTGGGTCTGCCGGCATATGGCCGAAAGGGGGTCGAACATACTTACATTGACCACTTGCCCACGGTAGGACTCGTCGGGCATGATGATGAGGTGTCGTTCAACACCCAGTCCGGATCACAGTGGGATGGGTTCTTGCATTACGGCCACCAGAAGACCCGCACTTACTATAACGGTATCAAGCACGACGATGACGTTGAAGTCCAAAAGGCAGGCTTAGGCATCCATCGTAGGTCTATCCCTAGACTTCTGTTCAGCACCCGACGTGGGAAGCTCGTTTCGTTGGCTGTGTAGCAGGATCGTGGCTGAACCATTCCCTAACTCAACAGACTGGTGCAAGCAGGGAATTTTTGGCCGGGGTGTCCTTATCGACTGGGCTCGCTGGCAGGAACAACGAGGCGAGCCTGCCATTGTTCCCGTCACCACCTACGGCATTACCGTCGACGACCTCGAACAAGTCCGAGAATTGGCAGGGGTGGTCTTCCGCCCCGGAGATATCCTCATCATCCGGACCGGCTTGGTCAAGTGGTATTGTGATACCCCTGAGCCCGCGCGCTCTGAGGGGCTCGCCGGTCCCAATCAACTTGGCGTGCGGGCTGGAGAGGCTGCGAGGCGATGGATATGGAACAACCGGTTCGCGGCGGTCGCAGGCGACGGGTTGACCTTTGAAGGTACTGTACATACAGGCAAACAAGTCATGGATCGATTTGTTATTTTTCTCCCCTACCTCTGCAAGCGAAGTTTGACTATTCCGTGCTGATGAGTGTCTCTTGCTTTACCAGAATTTCCACCCCCTTCGGACGGCAGTATGCTGCATAACTGGCTCTTGCCGCACGCGGGAATCCCGATAGGAGAGCTCTGGAATCTCGAGGAGTTGAGCGTCGCCTGTGCTCGACTCAATAAATGGACGTTTGCTCTGGCCTCAGCCCCACTGAACATCATGGGTGGCGTAGGCTCACCTCCAAATGCGATTGCAATACTTTAACTAAGAGAGCCTCGAATGGGATAGTCGCCGCGGGCTAGTTTTCATCGAGACATGTTCTGTACGTGGCTTGGGTTACGTAGTGATATTAGATATCGATTCTCTGAAGAATGTGCCCAGAGTCATTCCCAGTTCACCTTCTCTGTTCAAGGTCCCCCCCGTCTTCTAAATAGCCCATGGTGTGTCATCATTCCGGATATATGGTGCCAGCTGGTTGATAACTGCTTTACCTTCGGCGGCCTCGTAGTGGGCTCTCGTTTTGCCGTTGCCGAGGAACGCCCAAGGATTAGAACTCTCATACTGCATGTCGTAGTCTTCAAAGCGTGGAGTCCGAATGGTTTTGACGTAGGTCAGAGCACTGCCGCACCAGAGCTGGGGTTCCCCATCCACCGTGCCATTCTTGTACCATGATCTTGCGGTAGAAATGGACTGCGTCAGTTGAATGTTCACTCCTTTTCCTCCTCCCCCACAACGAACCAATGCGAAAGGAACGAGTGAGGTCCCGGGATATGTACAACACTCACCTGCATGGCTGCGACCAGACGGTGTTTTTGTGGAAAGCCGACATGTGTTCTTGGAACTTGGTCGTCATGTATCTCTTTGGTTCCACGGATTTAATGCCCTCTTCTTGCATCTTTTTCATGACTGCAACAAAATATTCACATGCGGTTTCGATCTTGGATGTGTTGTCAGTTGTTAGGGTTTCTCTATTTCTCATGGGATAACGTAGGGAGGACGACGCTTACCGCGGGCAATATGGTCCCATTCCCCAACGGGCCTTGAGGTCCCGTTGACATGAAATAGTTTGGAAAATTGGGCGCAGCAATGCCTAGGTATGCATCTGGGCGCAGGGCCCAGGCCTTTTCCATGCCCAGTCCATCACGTCCGATGATCGGGAACGCTCGGATGAACGACGTGTCGAAGCCCGTAGCGCACACCTGTCCGATAATACACAATGAGTGGCGTGTTGTAAGCGCAGTATGTAGACAGATGACTTACCAGTATATCAACCTCGTGTTGCGTCCCATCTGCCATTTCCACTGCTGTTTCCGTCAGACGGCCAATCTCCCCGAACACGGGCTGCACGTGTGGCTGGACCAGCGTCTCTAGGTAACCATCACCAGGAGTCAGTCTGCGACACCCCGGCGCCCATTGCGGGATCAGCTTCGCCGTGAGGTCCTCGTGTCCTGGGCCTATACGCGCCTTCATCTGTTGAGTCATTGTCTGGAACATTTGCTTTTGGACGTCGCTGCCATATATAAAGGCATCTGCCATTGTGTTGAACTCGGCCTCGATCCTTTTTCGGAACCTCAAATGGTATTCGGGGTCGTCGCGGAACCTATTCTTCTCCTCCTCGGTGAAGGTGAACTGTTCGTGCTTGTTCTCCAGGTTAGTCGTCTGGCCATTGTGTCCGACTTCGTCCTGAAACTGAAGAGCTACGCCGCCGCCCAGCGCCGGTGAGATCCACGTTGGCGAGCGCATGAAGACTTTGAGGCATGCCACTTCTGGATGTGGCTGTCAGCACCCAAACACGGTCCCCCTGGGAGGTATCTGACATCAGAATGGTCCAGAAGGGGGTCTCTCCTACCTTTCGCCAGTTTCGGCACAAGCTGATGTTGCACGTTAGAACGATATTGGTTCCCGGTTTTCTTCGGAGACGTCACCACTCACTTGTATGGCACTTGATCCGTTGCCAATGACTCCGACCGTCTTGCCCTTGTAATCCAAATTGGGGTTCCATTGTGCAGAATGCACCTTGGGTAACTTGAACGAGTCGAAGTCTTTGATTTTCGGCCAGGTCCAGGTGTTGAGAAAGCCGGAACCATCGATCAGCACGTCGCATTCGTCTTTGATAATCGTGGAGGGCAACGTTTCAGAGTTTTCCACCTCAACCTTCCACTTGCACTTGGCCTCGTCCCAGCGAGCTTCTTTGACCGCATGGCAGAGCTTGACGAACTTGGCCAAGTCGTGCTTCTGATAAAAATCTTCGAGGGTGTCAATATATCACGCATTGAGATCCGAAGTTGTCTCGAGGGATCATACCCCGGCAGTATTCGTAGATCTCTTCTGCCCCGGCGTAGTACTCGGACCAGTCGGGTTTTGGATCAAACGTGAAGGCTATTGGGATCAGCTTGATGTGGATGACAAGACTTATTTCGCGTTGACATACTGTAAATGTGTGCCGGGACGTCGCAAGCACATCCGGGGTATCTGTTCTCCAACCAGCTATAGGTAGATTGTCAGCGTATGGTCAAGAGACAATGGGGCAGTCAATACTGACGTTCCACCGATGTCTGTGTTCTTCTCGTATATGGTCAAGGAGAACTTCTCCAAGCCTCGGATCATCTTGTAAGCCAGACATAGTCCAGAGATCCCGGCACCAATACATATGACTTTCAATGGCCTTGTTACCTGAGAATGATAACGACCTGGCACAATATACGGCTCGGCGTACGACCCCATGGCTTCTGGATATGACAGAAGGTGATGATTAGACAATGGGCAGTAAGTGACCTATAGGCACCTCTAGACGACCCGGTAATATAGGAAACCAAGACTAACTACTCGAGCCTCTTTTCCTTGTCCGATGTCATTCCACCTGGCCCACTTTTCCGCCAAGCAGCAAATCAGAGCGCATGGAGGCGGAGGGTTCGTCCGAGATACCGGAGAACCGACAATCAGGGTAGAGCCGATCGCGTGGCAACAGCGCGCGGTGTGGTGATAACGATTGCTTCTAAGGGGAATGGATACACAAAGAACTCGAGGGATGAGGAGTTTGCGTTAGGTCACTGGCAGCTTTCTCCAGACCTGATGCATTAAAAACACGAGTTATCGCAAGAAGGCTTCGTAAGAGATGGTAGAGGAAGCAGGAGGTCAAAGTCTGGGCACTGGACCCTCTTCTCTTGCATACTGTTTAACACTTAGTACTTGTATAGTGAGATCGTTACCTTCCTTACCTTCAACAAAGTTCCAATTTGTCCGTATAGTCAACCTGAGTGCCACGTGAATCGAGCAGCCGTACGCCATTTCCCAGGTACCGTCTAAAAGCGCGTTCGTGTGGCGTGGAAGGGAAGGAAGGGAAATCTCCCGGCAAACCGGAGGAATATGCTTCGACTCGCATTGGCATTTTCCGCCACTTTTGAACGAGAGACCATAAATTTGGCACCTTGAACCAATATTTCTACCGCGCAGTCAAAATTCCCATCTATTAGTCGCCAAGATGGACACGCAGAACCTCCCTGAATACATGAAGCGTCCCGCGCTGCAGCCCCGGCGGCTTCGGATCGTTGGGATCGGCGCTGGAGCCTCTGGACTCTTGCTCGCTTACAAGGTCCAGAGGAACTTCATCAATATCGATTTGACCATCTTTGAGAAAAACGAAGGTGGGTTCAATGGCTCTCGCGTTATGGTTTGTCGCACCCTTGGTATCATGACTGACTTGTGGCTCTTTTGAGCAGGAGTGGGAGGGACGTGGTGGGAAGTAAGTCTTGACCACTCCCCAGATGTCTTTTTATCAGTCTCTTGTCAAGATGCATGGATATGTCGTGGGAAGTGCATTGCTGCCATTACAAGAAACGTGTTCCCACGTATCCCTGGTAGCCGGTCCAAAGTCTCCCGAATACAAGGCTGACATTCTTGGGGTTGCAGAACAATTATCCAGGGTCCGAATGCCCGTTCTATATGCCTCCCGCAACTGTGATACTAAATTGAAGCAGATGCGCCTGTGACAACTTTTCACACACATATACCTATTCCTTCGAACCCAAGACCGACTATGAGGGCACGTATTCCACGTCCCAAGAAATTCAGGGGTAACGAATCCCAACACAAACCACAGGCTAGAGGACAATCTACTCACGTATATTTCGTTCAAAAATACATAGATACTTTGAAGCTTTCTGTCATAAATACAGTCTGGCACGCTACATTCAACTTTCACATGCGGTTACACGGTGCGAATGGGACGAAGTCAGCGCTACATGGACCGTGACCACCAACGACCTAAGGTCTGGGAGATCAAAAAGGACAGTCTGCGATGTTCTGGTCAATGCAACTGGCGTGCTTAACAGCTGGAAATGGCCTGATGTTCCAGGACTCGACAAGTTCCAGGGCCAACTAGTGCACAGTGCGCATTGGGATCCGCAGGTCGACCTTGACCAGAAAACCGTCGGGCTAGTTGGCAACGGGTAAGTCCTTGGTGTTTGTGCTCTCAATAGGTAACGGCTCTGAAGCTGGCTCTAGGTCTTCGGGGATTCAGATCTTGCCGGCAATACTACCCCAGGTAAACCGCGTGGTCCATGTCATCCGCAGCCCTGCCTGGGTCGTGACGCCCTTTGGGAACAGCATGCCCCGCAAGTTCACGGAGGAGGAGAAGAACGAGTTCGCCGACCATCCAGAGACACACTTGCTCCTTCGAAAGCGCATCGAAGCGACCAACAACAGCTTTTTCCAAATCTTTTTGAAGAACACGCCCGAATGCCGAGCCGCGAAACAAAAGTTCACCGAGCAGATGCGCGAGCAGCTGGGAAGCTTCGACCTCGCGAACAAGCTCATTCCAAAGTGGCCTCTAGGCTGTCGCCGTCTAACCCCGGGCATTGGGTATCTGCAGGCCTTGCAGGATCCCAAGACTGAGCTTATCTACGACGCACTGGCTGAAGTGACTGTGGCTGGCTTGAGAACCACGAGTGGTCGCGAAATTCCCGTGGACACCATCATCTGTGCCACCGGGTTCGACACCTCATTCAAACCCAAGTATCCCGTGCTAGGACCCAAGGGGCAAGATCTCCGTGACGTCTGGAGTGATCAGCCAAAAGGATATCTAGGACTGGCCGTTCCCGAGTTCCCCAACTACTTCACCTTCTTGGGGCCGAACTGCCCGATCGGCAACGGCCCGGTCTTGTGCGCGGTCGAGGCGCAGGGCGATTATATCTGCAAATTCATCTACCGAATGCAGACCGAAGACATCAGGTAAGAAAGAGAAATGGATGGACTGCGGGAAAATAGTCAAACGACCCGTTTTCTGCTTTCGGTGACGATGACATGAGCCACGCGCTGACGATGAACTCGTTGTTACAGGACGGTGACACCGAAAATGGCGGCCGCGGATGAGTTTATGAGATTCAAAGACACATTTTTCCAGACGACGGTGTGGAGTGAAGACTGTCAATCGTGGTACAAGCTCCGGCACAACAACAAGATCTCGGCCGTGTGGACAGGGTCGACCATCCACTATCTGCGCGCCGTCGAGCATCCCCGGTACGAGGACTGGGACTATACATATCTCTATGACAATCGGTGGTCGTTCTTGGGCAACGGACTGGCTCCAGACGACGTCGATCCCCAGGCCGACCTGGCATTCTATGTCCGCCAGTTCGACGACGCGCCCATCATCGGGAGCAAGAAGATTTACGAGGGCCCGTGGGTGGCAAACAGAGGTGAAAGTGCCATTGGTCTGAAAGATACAGAATACAAGGAGCCAGAAGAGGTATTGTCTGAGCCTCCACCAGCGGGACCCAGGCTCTGACGACACGATAAACTGTTAGCGTCCTTGAGTCCATCAATCAGGAGGCATGCCCTTTTTGTTTTTCGTTTTTCCTCTGCGGAGAAGGCCTGTAGTGCTGGACTGCGATATCTTAAAATCTGGTATATATATATATATATATATACACACACACATATACATGGTACAGCTAGAAACGAGACCCGGGGGCCAACCGAAGCCAGTTGGCTTGGCTCTTATGGTTGTATTTGGAAAATACTATAAATTTGACTGATGCAGAAGTTCTATACCCATATCACAGTTTACTAACCATCGTGCCTGTAGCAGACGCATCGTGCTTGTCGCCTAACGGGCAGTCTTGGACTTGGACCATGGCAGCGATCCGATGAAGGCTTTCCTCGGCCTCTCTCTCGATCCGTCTCAGCAACGCCTCGCACGAAGGGATATCATTGATGATTCCCATGACTTGGCCGGCGGTCCAGACCTGTTTATTTTTGTTTCCTGTGCGTTAGCGACTCAGCGCTTCACCTATGATCTGCCCAGGTGCGGGACAATAGAAACTCACCCCGAAGTCAATATCGCCGTTGAGGAAGACCTCGCGTCCCCGCTTGCCGCTGACCAGTGGAGCGATCTCTTCAAATTTGCCCGTCGGACTGTTTTTTTCAATCTCCCTCGCTTCTCTGGACACTTTGTTGCTGTACAGCCGAGAGGTGTTGGTCCACCTGCGCATGACGAGCTCCGTGTCGTGCTCCGACCCGGCACAAATGGCCTTTTTGACATTCGTGTGCACCGGCGCTTCCAGGGTGCACATAAACCTAGTACCCATGTTGATCCCCACTGCTCCCAACGCCATGGCGGCGACCAGACCCTGGCCGTCGGCGAAACCCCCGGACGCGAGAAAGGGGGTCTTGATGGTCTGTCGAGACCGACTGAGCAGGATGAAATTGGTAATGTCCGACTCTCCCACGTGGCCGGCACACTCGAACCCGTCGATGGAGAGAAAATCCACGTTGAGCTTGACCGCGGACAGGGCGTGTCGGATCGTGGTACATTTGTGGATGACGATGATGTTGGCGGCCTTGAGGGCATTGATGACGGTTGCGGGACTGTTGCCCGCGGTTTCGACGACGCGGATCCCTTCTTCCACGACGACTTTGATGTACGCCCCGTAGTCCGGGGGTACCATGGTTGGCAGAAGAGTGATGTTGACCCCGAACTGCCATCTGGTCAGAGTCATGATCATGCCCGAGCGACCATCGTCGACAATGTTACCGGCTTCGAAGTCATGGTACGACATCTTCGGATTTCACTTCGCAACGCCGCTATTCAGGTTTGATCAATAACACCACCGAGACCCTGATGGAAACGTGAGGCGGTGGTGCCCATTACCTGCATTTGGCTGGGTCAACGCCGTGAGCTGTCATTTTGAACCATGTTGTCAGTAGGTGTATCTCCAATATGGACCGTGGCTTCGGTCCTTCGACTCACAATTCCCAGACCTCCAGCATTGCTGACTGCGGACGCTAATTCGGCATATCCAACCCACTGCATGCCTCTCTGCACCACAGGAACTGTGACATGATCAGTCGTGGCTCCTCCCATATCGTGGAGGGGTCGCAGTTGGGAGAGCTCACCCTGAATTCCGAGTGCTTCGGTCAACGCTGTATGAATCGCCATGCCGCCGGTGAGTGTCAACTACAGACGACTAGAAAATTACAGGCACGCTATAGCTTTAGAGATGCAGGTTAGTTGTGTATCGAGGTTTGTCTTGGTTTAGGCCGGCGATCCGAAGGAGCTGTGTAGCTTGGTCGATATCGCCTCGCGGCCAACGCGAAACGACTGACTCCGGATTACCGGAGTCAAGCACATCTCACTATCCCCCCATCCCAGCATTTACAACCGGGATATTAACTATAGAGATGGGTATGTATACAGAGATATCCTGCTAATGAACTAACGAGCATGATGGATTCCACCGGGGTCCATGCCCCCCTGCATCATGTCGAAGCCGCGACCTCCGCCTAGAATCCGATTTGATGCCGGCACGCCGGCGTCTCTGAAGACGAGACGTCTATGACCATGCGGAGCATCATCATAGCCTAATCGTGATCCCAGGGGTGCTTGTTGGCATATTACTCGTCGCTTCACTTGTAGTTCTAGACCGGCCCAGGTGTTTGCACATCAAGTCATCCGCCACCCCTCTTGTTGTAGTGGCTTAAGTCAGTGGGTCATTCGATCCGAAGCCATAGGAATGGCAGCAATCATATGTCCTTTGAGATCGATGGAGAGGCCCTTTGAGCTGATCAGGGAATGTGAAGGAATATGAGGCTTGTGGAAAGGTCATGACTTTTTGCTTTGTTCTTCAAATCCTAGGTCCAAGGAAGAGTTTATTGGTTTTTCAACAAATAAGAGCTGCTATCGGTTATGTTTCTAATTTGATCGTCTTTGCATCAATGACAGGGACAGAGCAAGCACAGTACCTCTCGGATCTACGATCCACTCAAGTTCCAAGTTTGTACTGATGCCGAGGGATTTGATTGGCTTGTTGGAAGGAGCTTCTCTGGCTTTCTCCACTTCTCCTGCCGAGATCCCGGGATGCCGGATCGAACTAACCGCATAGGGCAAGAAGTTTTTGTAGCATGGCTGTCGTCTTCTGTTCTTTGCATATGTCTGAGGACGACTGTCAAGGGCGTTCGTCGAAAAACAATGAGTCCAATGGTGGTACTTTGCTGATTTTCATCGTGTTTCAACTCTATCCAAAGATAGTCATAGCTTGAGTCAACGTCCAACTATATAAATGAACGTCGCAATTTGTTAGCAGCCAAAATGTCCCTTACTGCAAGAAAAGAGGCGTGGATAGTTTTGTTTGGGTGATCGACTCTCAGCAGCGGAGTGGGCCGAGCTGGAGGTGCTTTGTCGCCTCCCCGCAGAATGTGACTTTTGAGTGGCATGCCTGGTGATGAGCGATGACAGTATTCAGCGAGTGCTCGTGGCTGATCCGGGCGATCTCTGCTAAAATCTGCGGCTTTGGTGCTAGATCTTTCCATGTAGTCTCGGCTAGCAATTCCGAACAATTGCGTTGCGCTAGGTGCGTTTGTTACAACCGCACGTGGCCTTCATCGTGGCGTCTAACGTGCATCTGTACCACTAGCACACAATACACCGCGCTGGGTGGTACCGCCTGCTGAGCCAAATGTAGTCCAGCAATTCATGTCAAGCAATTTTGGTTAAACGTCATGGTTGGGAATCTTCATCATTCGAAGCTGGTAGAGGACTCGCTGGCCACAAGTCGAGTCGCCGTAGCAATAACCATCGATCCGTAGTTCGACTTGGTCGTAGTTGATGTGAGCGTCTAACATGGCCTTGATTTCTATCTCAGCTGTATTGCTCGTGCTTGTAGACGTGGCGAGGGATGAGGCTGTGAGATCTGAGGACAAGGAACTCGATCTTGAATCTTCCCAGACCGACTTGGTGCGCTAAAGACCTGCGCCTCTGGAGGTGAAGGAGTTTGTGCTCCGGATTGCCGAAATGCCGGGTTTCGTCACCAATCGCCTCGATACTCGGTACTTTTGTCTTCTGGAATTTCATTAGTTGGCAGTTGGGCAGCTGGTATGTTATCATTCTCGTACACATCAGAGTACTAATAGATGCCTCTACCATCACTTCTAATCCTCTTACAGGGATTAGAGGGAAATCGTACTGCGAGAAAGACTGTCACTTCAGGTCGAGTGGTGGAGCTAACTTTCACTAACTGGATCGAGGCTTGGCGGACATGCTACTTCGCTAGGCCGCGCCTGCTTTAACTAAAGACACCCCCATAATTGCCCTGTAGTATGGTCCCTATCATCGAATACTGTGGTAACCGAGTACCTGGAGATACCCGTCTCCACAAATCTCCCAAGTGCCTAGCCACCTAGCCAACTAGCCTGACCGAAATCTTGCCCTCCATGCTTTGGCACTCTCCCAGACCCCAGGGTCCCTCCTCCTCCCTCCCCCAGGCGTTGCTGGCCACTAGCCTATCCTCGCCTTACCCCGCAACTCTTCATCCTTTCAAGTTAGCCACACATTTTTATCTTCATCAACCCTTCGAAGAATTGTACCACTGTGTCGATGAAAACAGCAATTTTGGCCATAATATCCTCCCATTGACCCATGGCTTCCGGTAATCCAACATATGACGCTTCTGGTGACGAGTCCGATTGGGCGCACAGGTATGAATGAACCCAGTAGTTGTACATTGTTTTTGGGGGTGAGATCAACTCCTGACGTTTGCTTTTGTGTCTCGGTAGACGGACCCCAAGGGCGTGTAAACTGTGTCGCAAGAAGAAAGTACGGTGTAAGTGGTGTTTTACCTTCTTTTCACAACTCCAACTGACAGCTGCGCCGCGCAGGCGACGGCGTTCGTCCGGCATGTTCTCAGTGCTTGCTACACCGTAGCCGGTGTATCTATCTACCCCGAGCTGTCCGAGCGACTCAGCGAGCACCGCGACATATGACTTCGAAGAAAGGAACAGACTGCGTCAGAAACGATCTTGAAAGCAATGAGGTACCATCTTCAGGTCCGAACCTCGTCAACATCGACCATAGCTGTTCCTCAAACCAACAGCCTAGTCCATCCTCAGTTGCTTGTTCGTGCCCTCTCTTGCACCTCACAGTTGGAATATCTTTCTCATGACCTCCGCAGCCAACTCAGCTCCAATGGACATATCCCACCAAATGGCAATGTCAGGGGTTGAATCTCGACAGCCTCAACAACATCAACCTAGGCATCCTCAAAGTAGCCATGAAAAAACAGGCACCACGCCACAACCAGCGCCAGGAGGAGGCACACAGTTCCTTCATACGGGCCAACTCGATCTTCCAGGGCAAACACCCAATATGTACCAAGATTTCACAACACACTGTGATCTAATGGACGAGGTCCTGGGCGACACCGGAATCTTGACGCCACAAATCTTTGAGGCAGATCAGCTCCTCGACTTTTTGCCCGGCAAGACACCTGATTTCAACGGCATCTTCTCCACGACTCATCAAACGACGCGAGATCAGCCCCCGGGCAATGACGAGAGCTTTGCGTCTCATTTGACGCCGGAAGACTTCCCATCTGACGCTAGGATGCATAGCTCTGAAGCCGGACTGGGAGGAGTTGGCCTCGATGTCGATAACGCGTATTTCTCCACCAGTTCGAGAGGACACCGCCCCAGCCGTTGGGGAGAGGCATATTTGGAAGAAGATGTTGGTCACAGCCTGCAGAAAGCGGCTTCAGGCCATATCAAGTACATGGGTATGAAGTCAAGACCCTTTCTTATCTGACCTAGGGCACGTACAATTACTAACATTGCATTTCAGGGCCAAGCATGGCAGTAAGTTACTGAGATTGGGCCCTCCTGGGTGCCAACGCGCGTCACACCATCTCACTTTCTTGCACTCTAGTTCGTCGCTGGGACACAGATAGGCCAGACATGGATTACCAATGCAACATCCTCGACCTATTTCGCCGACCAGATGCACTCATTTCTCTCCAAGTGGACTCCTGATGCCCTTGATGACGTGCTGTCCACATCCCGGCCTTATGATGCCGCTTATCTACCATCTTATGATGTTGCTCTATCATATCTCCAGAGTAAGTTGGCTCCAACTTAAATATTCTCACACATTTTGTGCTGACTCGTGGATGTTTGAAGCATATTTTGATGAAGTGCAGTGGTAAGGATGAGACTCAACTCTTCTCCAGATAGTTATTGAGGCTGATCTGTCAAGTGCTTTTCCTGTCCTTGACCAGCAGAGCTTCATCCACGAATTCAATCGTTCTTATTCTTCGTTATCACATGTTCAAAATCCGACGTGGTGTGCTCTCGTCAACATCGTGTTGGCCATGGGGAGTCGTGCTAGTGTCAGTACGAATGATGACCAGACTTGTGGGCTCTTCTGCAACGCTCTAGGGTTGTTCTCTCGGGTAGCGCTTGGACTGTCGTCTCTGCGCAAAGTGCAGACCTTGACACTTATGGTGAGGTCATTACTTCAGGACGAGAATACGTGGGACTGACTTTCTGTTTCAGTACCTCTTCCTGAGCCACTCAACCTCTCCACATTGGGGTTACACCATCCTTGCCTGTGCCGTGCGCGACAGTCAAGCCCTTGGACTTCATCTGCAGCCTCGAAGAGCATGGGGATTCTCCCACGAAGAACTGAGACAGCGCAGCCTCGTGTTCTGGACGTTGTATTGCTTGGATACGCGTGAGTGAAAACCCTGGCATTTACGCTGCGATGGCTTTCGTGCTAACAGCGAGGCATACA